AGAGAGAGAGAGAGAGAGAGAGAGAGAGAGAGAGAGAGAGAGAGAGAGAAGCAACGGCAACGTCAACGTCAACGTCATGCGGTGGGGAGTTTTTGTTAACACGAAAATCCCATAAGATTGGTCGTGCCGTACGGGTTTACGTCGGAGGCTGGTTGAGCTATTAGTAGTTGCGTTCCCTAACTCGGAAGAAGTTGCAAGAATTTACAGGAATTTACCAGAAAGCGTTCCCGTACTCGGTTGTCTAGCTTCTTTTGCGTTTTGACAGGTTTTAACCCAGAAAAGTTGGGGGAGCGTAACTATTCATAACCTGCTGACAGCAGTGCATAGCCCTAATGAAGCAACTTACCGTCAAAATTATAATTGCAGATTCGGCAAACTGAAGAGCTTTCTCCCATCGCAATGGACACCAACATCGACCCAGCTTACCAAGACTTTCGCCACCTGCCAGCTCCGGTGCGGTGTATGCCCGGTGATCGACTCATTGCAGAATGCATTTATGACAGTTCGTCACGGAAAGCAATTACCCTCGGTAAGTAGTAATGCAGACTGTTTATGCCCACACAATGCAACTTGTGCTGTTGTTATGCTAGCAAAAACACGAAAAGCAAAAGCAAAGAGCGAAATATCACTGCATAGAAGTGTTCTTAATGTTGCGCTTTAAAACAAACCGTTTGTATTTTGGATTTGCAACACCTTCCACGTATCGCAGTCCACTTTATTTAGTCTAAAATTTGCTGAAACCACGGCTTCTGGTATATGTACATAAATGTAATAAAACAGTTTTAACTTGACGTAGAATTAGAGCTGGAAAACAATCGATGTTCGTGACCATCGATGTTTTCATAGCATAATATGGATGTAGTATCGATGTTTTCCCAGAGTGGAATTGTAAAGCAAACAGTACACATTTTGCACATTTTCGCTAATAACTGTATTTGGTAAAAATATATTGCAATAGTTGCGTTCGCGTAGCTGTTAATTGTTCAAAGTTAACCAAAACTTTTAGGTTTTGCGTTCGCGTACGCAAAAAACTTGCAAAGTAGGGGAAATTGAGAGAGCAAAGTGACATTTCATTTTGAGGGGAAGCTGCTAGTTTCTGCTGGAAAAATTTTTGCCAACAGCAATTTGCCAACAGAAAAAGAGCTGATCAAAAACAGCTGGTAGGAATTTACGTAAATCACAAAATTGAATTTGATGGTTTGGAAGTTAAACTGATAAAATGGGACTAATTGAACTTGTAAGAACTAAGTCGTTATTCGTTTAATAAATAAACTGTGTCTGGAAAACTTTTTGTGATAAGTTTTCGTACGTTTTAAATGTAACAATTTTGAATATAAACAAAAATTCGATCAGCTGTTCGTCGAACTTGCAAGTTTCTGCAAGTGACTGATATCACATGTAATGTAATGCATAGTGTTAAAGCATTTTTTTTAGAAAACCGACCTCCGAAGGTGTTTTCAAATATATAAATATTAATACATATGTGTCATTAAACAAAACAATTTTGAGTTTTGCTAAATATTTGATGGCCTTTTATAACTTGCACAGTTTTAAATCTGAACTAGTATACATTTAATAGTTTTATGACTCCTCGTTTGAGCCTTGTGAAATGTAGAAACCATTACTTGATGCAACCAAAATATCAGTATTTGGAGAAACCCTCCGCGGAAAAATTTAAATGAATATTTACTATAGAAAGCACGAATTAATTGCTTGCCAGGGGATTATTTAATTTGCTGGTAATTTCAGTTCCATAATGTAGCAGTATCGATATTATACATATATGTACAAACATAAATCGGTCATCACTAATTACTGTAAACAACCCCTAGATTAAGTTGTATATATTTCGTCACACTCTAGCTTTAAGTTACAAAACTATTTATAATAGCTTGTTGATTATGTCTCACTCTCCCACTAAGATATAAACCCGCTAAGCAACCGGCCGTCTTCACATGCTTAAAAATCTCGCTTGCGAGAGAAAAAAGCAGAACGTAGAGTTTTGTTAACTGGGCATTTGACAGCATACTTTTTCATTTGTAAAATGTCGCCAAACAAGAAGGTTCAAGCCTTGCAGGCTTTTAAAAGTTTGAGAAAATTAGAAAATCTGCATAAAGAGATGTATACTATTTTCAAATGAAAAATCGCTGCCTCTAAATTTGTATTTGCCTCCAAAATAAACGATGTTGCTACTCTGAAGAATTCTGCGAAATGAGAACATAGCTGTCAAACAACAAAAATGACAGTTGAAAGCAATCGAGACTCGCATACCGCTCGGTATGCGAGAAAAAGCATGCTTCGTACTTTTTGCGGTCTACACGTGCGGTTTCTCGCATGCGTCGTCACGCAAGCGAGATTTTCCAGCACGTGAAGGCGGCCGGTAATCGCGAACGAAGACCAATAAAGAGTTGACGAAAGTCAGTCGGGGTACAGCATTGTTAGCGAAACGACGTGGTTTTATTTAATCGGTCAGCTACCACAATAAAATATTCCTCAAATTTTTTATTTGCCTAGACAATCATTAATGTATTAACTGCTATAACTGACTTCACGAAAATCAAACCTTTGATGGATACGTAAATATAGCGGAAAATGTGCAATATTTCCTAAAATATTTTGTAACAAATGTTATGTATAGTTATGAGAAAAAACCTATCAATAGGGACAAAAAAACATCGATAGTGGGGGTAATTGGCAAACATCGATACGATCGATAGTGCCATCGCTTGTTTTCCAGCTCTACGTAGAATACTTCTTACGTTTCGATATGGAGGCTATGCTCATATGTTGTAGTTGTAATTTTTAGAGCTTCACGAAAACGCTTATTGTATGAGAACTAATGAAGCTATTTCAAAGAAAAGTGCGGCGTTTCCAAGACAAAATTCCAAACCTATCGACAGATGCATTTTTGTAAGTAACCAATTCGGTTTCTGTCGTAGAAGCAACGGTAAATATTGGCTTATTTTGGGGTCAATTTTGAGCTTTTAAAAAGCTCTAGCAACTTATGATTTGCAGATATAACTTTCACTTTCGGGATAAAGGTTCTTTGGAGCAGTAGAAATATTATCGTTTACAAACTTTATATAAATTCAACAAATATTGAGCATTTTTTGCAGCTGGCTACGCCCTTGTGTATGTACATATGTACATTAGACTGCATCACTCCCCATACAAAAAAAAATCGGTACTGTTTTTCCATTGGAATTATAAAATCTATACTAATATATATTTTGAAAGCCGTTTTTTCTGTTCGCAAAGCTCGAGATCAGCTGTACCGATTTTTTGGAAATTTCGGTTATAGGTTTTGGATGGGCTTCTCATTGTCTTAGGCAAAAAAAAAAGTTTAAATACTTCCCTAAAACTGGAACTGCAGGACTTTAAAAATCCTATGAATCTAACATACATGCCAACATAACGGCGCTGTTCAGCGTTGAGAGCGCGCTCTTCTGTTAATTCGTACGGAATACAGCGCAAAGCAAGGGTTATGTATACATATGCATACGTGCTAAAGTTAACGTTAATGTTGATTCTTATGTTAAAAAAGGAACAAATATGTATGCACAGTTCATGGAGAAATAATGTAGGCTCTTATGTATGTAGAGTCGTTTATGTTGGCACAAGGAGCAACTACAATTCTGTTAGCACTTACCCAACAAGAACGACCTAGCGCATTCTCCAATACACTTACAAAATTGTCAATAAAAACTGACACATTTGCATATTAGCCATATCCATATGCTATTATTTGCGTTATATAACGCGTTATTAATCGCATAATAATACTAGATTGAAAAGAGACAAATATATATAGAATAATATTAATAAAAGAAAGAAAAAACTGTTCACACGTGAAACAATTATGCGTTAGATTTCTCCAGGAGCCCTATGTAAAATGATGGAAAGTTTTTGAATTTCTCACACAAACTATTTGTAGTACTAGGCGTATATAACGCATTAGTTAACAGATAGGGTTCTTACTGGGTACATTTGTATATGCATATTTATGTACATACATATGTATGTATATAATTACGCATAAAACCCTGCTGAACCGATTTTTTTGAAATTTCGGATACCTGCAGAACTCGTTGTAAGGATGGTTATCGGCTAACAAAAGTCTCGATTTATAAAAGGGGCGTGGAACCGCCCATACGAATCGAATTTTTCATACTCCAGATCTCTGGAAATGTTCATGGTAGAGTTCTGGAACTTGGTATGGAGATTTATGAAGTCCATCGCATACCCTTGGAGAAAGATTGGAGCTATCGGAAAAGGGGGCGTGGCACCTCCCATACAAACCGAATATTCATACTGCATATCTCTGGAAGTGTTCATGGTAGAGTGATGGAACTTGGTATTGGCGCATATGAAATCGATCGTATAATCTTGGAGAAAAATTAGACCTATTGGAAAAGGGGGCGTAGCACCTCCCTTTTAAACCGAATTTTTCATACTGCATATCTCTGGAAGTATTTATGGTAGAGTATTGGTACTTGGTATGGAGATATATGAAATCGTTACTCTTAGATAAAAATTTATGGACCTTTACGCGTTGGTGATGGCGAATATCGCAGACGATTTAACGATGAGCTGTATAAGCTTTACAACGATATAGACATAGTGCAGCGAATTAAAATTCAGCGGCCCCGTTGGCTTGGCCATGTCCTTCGAATGGACAGAAACGCTCCTGCTCTGAAAATATTTAACGCAGGCCGTGACGCTGGTAACATAGGAAGAGGAAGGCCTCCTCTGCGTTGAAAAGACCAGGTGTAGAAGGACTTGGCTTCACTTGGCATTTCCTATTCGCGTCAGTTAGCACAGAAGAGAAATTACTAGCGTGCTGTTTTGGACTCGGCAAAAATCGCTTAGGTGGTTACAGCGCCAATAAAGAAGAAGATACCTTATTGTAAGGGATTATTAAAGTCTTTTTTTTTATATGACCTATAAGGCTTAGGCATAAGGGTTTGTCAGAGAGAGAGAGCAAACCTTATGAAATGATGACATCAACACAACGAAATGTGGTGTTGATTCAAACTGAACATTTGAAAGGACATGTGCATGTCTGGCTGTAGCTGAGTATGCAAAGATACTTGATACAATCGGTTGCTGCCAAGCCTGTCCGGGTTCAATCTCATCGTCTCATCATACGGACCACACAATTTAATTTTAATTTTTTATTTTTATTTTATTCTCTCTGAGAGAGAAAAAGTTAAACCTTAAAGCGCAGTTACCCACGGACGTAAAAACGGAGAACGTGTCACCTGACACGATCTATCTTATGACATCTGCGTGTTAACAAAAACTCACCACCGCATGACCGTGACGTAGACGTAGCATCTCTCTCTTTCTATCAACAGCAAACTTGGTATGTTTCTACGTACTTCTACGCTACGCTATGTACACGTACGTAACCGCGCTCTTAAATATTCCCAATGATATCAATACAGCGAAATCAAGTGTAAAATAAGGGTTATGCCATACAACTTGTATTTCTTACAAGTTAATATTAAATTATTAAATAAGGCTTAT